AGTTGGCTACCAGCCTTGGTCAGTCAAGGCTGCATCCAAATAAGGATGCAGTTCTGTAAGAGCTGATGTGCACTTGCAAAGATGATACATAAAACAACAAACAAACAAACCCAAACCCCAACCTTATCTCTATTTGCTGTGTTCTGAATCTCTTTCCTAGGTATCCACTGCTGGAGATAAGATAGCTGTATGGACCTCTGGTCTCCCCTGGTACAACCATTCTTGAGGTCTTAAGCAAATCTTGTTAAGACTTGTACATGAGAATTTCATGTCATCTGGACATGAGATTGCTTGACCGTTGCAGAACTTTGCAAAAATTAATTTTCATATTACTGATAGCTGGTTTCTTTGTGTTTTACAATTCTGCAGGATGAGCTGTCACAGAGACTGGCCCGCCTACGTGATCAAGTTTAAGTTAAACAAAGCTGCGGTTCTTTGTACGTGCTTTCAAAATACTCTTCCTGTAACTAACCCTTCACTACACTAGAAAGGTGTATACAGTATGGCTTAGGTGTTTGAATATTTGTAATATAGGGTACTTCACTCCTAGCTTGCTGCTCTTTCTAAATACATTAAGTAACCCAAAAATATCAGCTCTCTAATGTCCTTTTCTGTACATTTTGAAGTTGATATATTTTTCACAAGCTTTTTTCACAAAATCAAGTTGATATTCTAAGTCAGCTAGTAATGTTGGTGCATTCTAGCTAAAAGAAAAGCAGAGTGTCATTGATATATATTTTAAATTATGAAGTGATTTTTTTAAATTATGAGAACTGTTTATGGTTGGAGAACTGATGTATTCAGTTCGGATGACTGTTGCAGATAACTTTCTTACACAGCCAAACTCCTGGAACACGCAAAGGTGGACAGCGTGGACTTCATGGAAAATACACTTGTTAAAACAAATAAGTGGACTTCAGTCTGGGTTTTTTAGCCTTTTAAAGCTAGGGTAATCGTGCTGAAATTAGTTGTTCAGTTAAAAAATGAGTTACCAAAAGCTGTTTTCATATAATTGGGAACTTGTACGGTGTCATCACTTTAGTACAGGAGGAATAAAATACATTTTTCAACTCCTTGTCAGTTCTGTTGAATGTTGCAGCTTGCTTGTCGTTTAATGCCAAGTGCTGTAGCTTCTCTGTTTTGCTTTCTTCTCAGTCTCCTGGGGTGCAGCCAGTTATACCACTCACCTCTGTTTCCACCGACATAACATCTAGTTCCTGTTAATAGGGAACTCATGCTACCCATTTTTTTTAGGTTCAGGCTCAGAAGCCTTATATGGAGTAACTGAAGCCTGCTTTTCTCCAGTCCTTACCCTGTCTTTGCTTTTAATCTAGTCACTTTTTTATACGTAAGGGCAAGTCTCGTGATCGAATTCCACACTTCAGTGTTCTTCCATGTATGAAAAATACAGAAGTGCTCTTCCTCGGGTTCAGATCTTCACAGTTCTCCTTCAGGAGTCAAGGTCCCAACCTTGTCTTCTCTAACCGGGGCACTCCCTTAGATCAGCTTTTCCTCCTCTGCTCTTCACAACAGGTGAGTAGTAGATGAGTAGAATAGGCCGGCTCAGTCAAAGGGGCAGGCTGCTAGGTGTGTCCATCAGTTATGTTGGATTAAGAACAGCTACTTTATTCTGTAAGGTGTAATATTGCTCTCTGCAGATAAAATAACATGATTTGTAGTATTGCAGTCGTATGGAGAAGCTAGTTTGTTTTAGTGATCCCTTTAACCCCTTTATATTTCTGCGCAGTAAGAGAGAATCTACTGGCTTCTTTCAGTAGCTTCAAACTCTGGCTGCAGTTGTGAAGTAAAGAAATGGTTGTAGAAATTTGTAGCTGAGGCTGCTTGTGATGTGTTGTGATAAACAGTGATGTTAAAATTCTCTTTCTGACTTTTTGGGCTTGGTTTTTTTGTTTATCTTTGCAGGGGTGAGGGAAGGTGTGAAACACTAGACTTAGAATTAGTTCTTAATTCACTGGTGTGCAGGATCACATGGGTTTTCCAGTGTTGGGGAAATATTAAAGAAAAAAATACTTTGCTTTTTTTAGTCAAGCAGGATTTTTTCAGTGAAAACATGCAAAAATGATGAAACATTTCAGAGCAGTTTCAAGCTATATTTTGAATGTGTTACCCAAATTGCTTTGAAGGTTTAGCAGGATGTTACATACTGAAGTATTCAAGGCTACTGTAAAAATAAGATATGGAAAATAAGATAGACAAAACAACCTAAAATGTTGTGGAATCGTGTATCTCACACTGGCAGCCTAAAGTAAAACAATTTGTTTAAAATGTGGTCTTTTCACTTGTTTACATTTATTTTCGGTGCAGCTTCCTTTTAAACATCTTGAATGTTCCTCCTGTAAATAGGAGAAATTGGAAGATGTTTAAAAACCATGTACTCACAGCTGTAGTCTTGGTACAGTCCTTTCAAATTATTAATAAAGCATCTTAGGAAAGGGGCTATATACTACATTATTTTTTTTCCCTAGCTCCTTCTGAACAATACAACAAGAACATAATGGTGTATCTATGCAACCGGGTTACCCACAACTGTGGTAACTGCTTGTGTGTGTGCCTTTGCCTTGCTGAACTTACTTCATTTTTTTGATATTCGGTTACTTCATATCACGATAGGATTGGAAACTTGCTGTTGTGTAATAAATCCACATCTGAGTTTGCTTTGTGGTTGCTTGTTGATGGAGCTGTACCATGAAGTACTGAGGTTTTCAGTGTTTGATGTTGGCCAACTTCAGCTGGCTTGTCTGGCTTATTGTAATGTTAACGATGCTGCTGCTTTTAGACTGTTCCTGGCTGTTCTTAAACTATTTGAGGGGGTAGACAGCAATTCTGAGATCCCGTGTATTTGATTTTTCTGCCTGTGTTGCCTTGCTGTGAGCCTTGGGGCTTTGGAGGAATTGAAAAATAAAGGGAGATGAGACTGATCAGATTGCTGCAAGGTAAATGTTAAATAAGCTTATCTTACTGGCTATACACAGCCTGTTTCATGGTTTTGATCTTATCCCAGGTTGGCGAACTCCAGTACCAGGATAGATTTCCAGTGTCTTTTTTTAAAGGGATTGACAAGTAAACATAAAGGCTTGATTGACATAATTAGTGTTACCTCTGCGGGACTATGATGCAAAGAGGTAGGCAGGCTTAGCTGACTTGGGCAAGAAATGTGTTTGAAACAATGAATTTTTGCCCTGCTGGCTTCATTCTGAGAATTGCTGTGTATTTCAACGGGGCCAGGATTTTGTATTGGTTATTTCTGTGTATAGATCTCCTGCCCTCTCCTGGGGAAGATGATTTCTTTTCTCTTTAGAAGCACTTGTGTATAAGAGCTGGCGTTCAGGAAGTTTGAACAGTTACATTTCGAATGTATATATTTTTCTCAAGTCTTTTGGAAATGCTTAAAACTGGAAGTTACTCTGAGAGCAATATTTGAGTTTCATATCCTTCCCCCATTCAGGCTTTCCTCAAAACACTTGCTCTTTTTGAACAGCTCTGGCTCCTCGCTCCTACATTGCTGGTGTTTCCTGTAAGTTGACTGTATGTGTTTGTAGAAGTTCATTTCATGTTGAATAAATTGTATGTGCTTTTATGTACCTTATTACCAGATAATATTTCAAAACTTATGGTTATGAGCAGACACATCTAAAGCGAAACATTGCTTGAAATGTTGCAAGATGGTTTTGCTTGACATTTTTTTTCCTCGGTTACTAAAACCGCTAGTGTATAGTAGCATTAGTCTTTATTCATTTGAATTCCAAAACTGAAAGCCATGAAGAGCTTCAGATGAAAGGAGAGGGAAGGAAAGAAAGAACAAGAACTTTAACTTTCTTGATTGCAATGAGATAAAATGACGACGTTGCCTTTGTGGAGATCCTCAGAGCCAAAAAATAGTGACATTTTGATAAATATAATCAGCAACTGTGTACAGAAATAAATTCTGAAGCCGGTGACATGTATAGAGAAGAGAATAATTTTTGTAGCTCTGGTAGAGTTCGTTTTGAAAACTGCTTTACTTGTATGGGACGATTTGTAAATGTAACTGCAAGTGGTAAATAAAATTGTACAGACAAATTATTTCAGATGTGTTCTGAGGTTATATGGCTGTTTGCTGGCGGGGCTCAGTGCATGGATAAATGAGCAGATGTCATAACGCCATCAATATTTTCCTGTGAGAAGGTAATCAGAAAATTAAATCTTCACGGAGACAAAATAAGAAAGTAAAGTGGGTACTATGGAGAAAGATTTGGGACAACAGTTCAGGGAGTAATTAGGATTAAATATAACAACATAAAATACGATCTATTTAAAATTTTATAATTTTTTCTTTTACATATTTAGTTTGGTACGGAGTGTATCCCTCATGCTTGAACTTCTAAGAGGGTTTTCTGTCCTTACCATATATAACAAGGGGTCATGTGGAAAACTAGCAGGAGACGGTGTGGTTTTGAGTTTGTCCTGCCCAGAGCTAAAACCCTTCCATCTTTATTTTCCCCTTCTGTTGTTGTTTGGGAACCAGCAGAGGGAGCCTCAAGCTTTGTTTTTGCATAGGTCCTACATAAATTTTTTTGAATTCTTAAAACAATGGACTTTCAGAGTCATCGCTAGCTGGTTTAAGGAACTGTCTCCTGCGGAACCTCTGTTTCTGGATGGTATCAGAGCTCAGTAGGAAGTGCCTGTATTGGGGCTTAGATCCTTGCCTAAGAGCTGCTCTGTTGCACAAAATACAACCTGGAAACACGCTGCACGGGGCCATCAGCTAATTTGTGTCAACATCCAGCCATCTTCACTAAATGCATGTCAAAACGTTTCTTTGCTGTCTTTAGGCATTAATTTGGGACTTGGAGATCTACTGTTAGGAGTGCGGTAGTGAATAACTGTGCTTAAAACTTGTAAATTGTTTAATTTGTAGTTAAGTCCTCTTGGGTTTCTTTAGCTGTTGTCGTTTTTTTTTTTGTCCTGTGATGATAATTCTGTTTTATACAGAAGGAAACGCACTGGGTGCTGATGGAAAATGCATTTTAATAGAAAACTTCATTTTCTTATTAGAGGTGTTGCCCACGTTGAGATTTGATTTGATGAAACATTTACTTTGGTTTCAGGATTCTCTCTGTCCGTATAGCGCATTGCATTTTTTGGCTTTAGCGTTAGCATTCATCTATTGCAAAGGCCTGGTTTGAACTAACGGCAGCATACTGCTCAGTGCTCTCTCTTTTTTTTTTTTTTTTGTCAAACAGTATTTTTTCAGTGAAATCCCAAGAAGGGTCAGTGGCCTTACTTGTATCGGAAGCAGCTCTCTTCATTACCATTCAAATAAAGGAAAAGACCGATGCGAACAATCTGTAACTAATTTCAAGTGCCAATTGAGCCTTTTTAACTTGGAAGAAGATGCAGTAAGTGAGTCTTACAGGCTTTTGCTTGACCTTTACTACTCTTTATTAAGAAAGTCATGCTGAATCAGCTGTGATACACAGTTCAAGATAGAAAATCAATGGGCCGTAGGATCCCAGCTCTTTCCAGTTCTTTGCAAAGCTTTCCAATGTCTTCCAACGGTGCTGGTTGCCGTGAGAAGCAGCCAGAACCAGACCGTCTCGCGGCAGACAGGCTGCTTTCAAGCTCTGGCCTAGGCAAGGGTGATTTGGGAGAACAAAAGTACCTAAGTATCACCTATTTCTAAGCTAAAGGATGGTTTACTGTTGTGACGGCCTGTGCATATTGCTTAGGATGTTCTAAACTTGTTAACTCGTGAGTGAAACGATCTTTTTGCAAAAGTACAAAGCAATAAATGTTATGTACCAACAAATATGTGTATCTGACAAGATAATAATCAGCTTAATACAATTTCCCTACTATCTGATTCATAATTCTTTATTACAATCAATTTCTGTCAAAATGAGCTGTCAGGGATAGTAAAACATTTCAAAACTTCATTTAAAGACACTCAATATATATTTTTTTAACTCTTTTTTCAAAGATTAATGTAATCCTGGAGTCTCTATACAAGACATTTCACTTTGTTCTTATCACAGTCAGGACTTTGCAGCAAGAGGAACAAAATGGGTTAATATTGGAACCATTAAGCTCTATTTCTGTTGCTGGTGATTTTTCAGTTCCCGGTACCAGTACGAAGCCCCAGCATTTGACTTGAAATGCGTAGGAGAAGCAGGCAGTCCCATTCAGAGTGTTGTAAATTAGTTCCAGTCTCCAACAGACTGCTGTAACCAATTGATCTGACCTGGAAGTGGATAAAGTCCATAACAGTAAGATCAGCTTTTCTTCTAGTAATTTGACAAATAGAACCCTTTTTTTCCAAGTCCCACGTAGGCTACATACCCCATTTGTTCTTTCGTGATGGACATCGTTTCCGCATTGAAGTGATAATGATTTTCCAGATTTCTGCTGATTTGTATAGCAGGTGCCTTAATTTATTAATGCCAGAAGAAGGGAGAGATTCAACAGCAACAACAAAAAAAAAGGATTCCTGGCAGCAACCATATATCAAAGTTGCTGCTTATCCAGTTACGTTGCTGTAAGTATTTGACCATCGCTTAAAAACTTTATACAAAACATATACTTCTAACAACCTCTTCTGCAGAGATAATTCCATTAGTAAAGAGAGCAGAAGTATCAGTTTATTAGTGGTAATTATTATGTTTAACAATGGCACTGCTTTTCATCAAAATATTTAAAAAATACACTGTATGGTAAAGATTAATATTTACCAAGCCCCGGGTTGTCTTGTGTATAGCACGTTTAAAGCGGCAAATACAGAATATCCTGGGTTCTCTTTCAAATGTAATACTTTTGTTGAAGTTTTACAACTTCAGTTAGCCTGTGGCTAGAGTATTAAATAGACCAGGTATTCCCAAACCCTTCATAAAGGTTTATGGTGATGTTTGGGAAATCTGGATGTTTTCTCAGGATACTATTTACCAAACCGCACAAGTATTCCTCCTCCTGCTAGAAAAAGACGAGCAGGAAGACCGGTGGTTTGTGGAGTCGCTGGATCTCATTTATTTTCTACAACCATACGGAAATCAGAACATCTCTGTGTTTGCGTGGCGTTCGACTCTTGCAGAGTAAGTTGATGAAATGGGACCTGTGCAATGGTAGCTATGAGAAACTCCCCATTTCAGTGCCTAGTTAATTTTATAATAATTTTAGGCAGTCACTGTAAGTAAATTCATGCCGCTTTCTGTACGGGCAGTGACTTGGGGAGTTTCTTTGTGGATCTCTGCTCCCAGCCTGCATCCCACCCACCCTCTCCCATCCCTGCCACTGACAAGTCTGTCGGGCTCCACAATAGTCTCACCGTGAATATAAACTTGCCAGCAGTGACTCGAGAGAGAGAGCCCAGTCTCCTATTTATTTGTGCTCTAGTGGGATGTGAACCTTGGTCTTCAAGGGTGAAAGGTTGAGGGATGTGTGTCTTGTTTACCTGTGCTTTTCAGATAATGTTTTCCTTTAATCTATTAAGCAGACACACCATTTTGTCCCGAGGCGTACAATGGGATCACTAACGATGCGCTTAATTACTACCAAACCATGTATGAGTGACCGATGCCGGCAGACAAGAAGAGTCAAGGCCCGGTTGTCAGCCTGGAGGAGTTCAGCCAGGCTTCCCCCACCTCCCGTGTTTAATAGAAACATCTTTCCACAAGCGCGCTGCGATGTCTGCCTGATTTACAGACAGCTTCAGTGATGGGATAAAGTCGTATTGGATGGCTTTCACGTGAACTTTGATGGCTAAAGGGAAACTAGGTATTTACAAGTAGGAATGAGGAGATCCCAAACTATCAATGGATTTGAAAATCCAAATATATGATTCTTTTGAAAGTTATTTAAAAAACCCCAAAACCCTATAGGTGCATGGAGTTAATACAACCGTTGTAGCCACCGCTGCCTTTCAACGCTTTTGAGGCTTCTTTCTTACTGAAGCTATTACATTTAGACATTTGCATGTCATTGCATACCAAAGGCGGCATTTGGACTTAATTTTTGGCACTGCTGCAACGCTGTTGTATACGTTAATCAGCCAAGGTATATGGCTCGGTCACATGCTGCGCGGGGGCTGGCTCACAGACACAATAGGATGGAGAAGATACAGCAACACAGCTGCTAAACATATTTACCATTGAATAGTTAGTCACACTCTGGAGTTTTAATTGAATTACCTTTGACAGTGAACAGCAAACCTGGTGGGTGATCTACTAAATTTAACTGATGAATGGGCTCCCTAAAATCAATTAGCATCTAGGGCTGTGAGCATGAACACATCCTGTCGCTCTGCGGGGACCGGAGCGGGATCAGAATGACAGCAGCAAATGTGAGACAAAGTGAAAGCATGCATCTCCTGCCGCTGCTGACCTCTGCTACCCACATGAAAGAAAAACAGGAGTCTAACAGGAGCTGAAAGAATCTGACAGTAAATCATTTAAGCTCTGTTTTGCAGAACTGATATAGGATGCTTCTAAACGGCTTGATTAATGCTGGGCAGTATATTAAAAGCAAGACGTGGCGGAGCAAGAAAGCTACTGCCAAGTACCAGCTCTGCATCGATGCACCAAGCTGTAAGAAATACCGTCTGGTTGCTTTATTATTATTCAGATGTTCAAGGTAGCGGGTAGCCAAGAGGAATTAACTGTCTTCTTTTGCTACGGCGATAGGGTCCTGTCTGTAGCCACAGAGAAGCCCTCAGTCTTTTGGATGGTTGTTTGTTATCTGAATAATCAACTGATGGCAAAATGCAGGCTGGAGGTTCCTCTGACCTTTGCCTCATTGCAACCTGACTCCGTGCACCGTTCAGCTAGAGCATGTAATGAGGTACAGATGCGACAGATAGGATAATTAAATACACACAAATATTTGAGGGACTTTCAGGTTGTGACAAACTGATGAAGGCAGAAAACTCTTGATTGGGGCCGCTGTCTTTGGGTTTGGGGGTGGGTGGAAAAAGGGAAGGAAGAGAAGCGAGCAGCGTGTTAGCCTTCCTTTCTTTCACCCTGTTTTGCCGGACGACCAGATAAGCGCTTCCTCAGGAGTAAATCTGTGTAAAGGCTTGATTTATTTGGTTTG